GCCAAATGATCCACTTTTTCCTTCAAATTAATTTAATATATCTTTTCATATATAATCTTATAAATGTGAGTTTGAAATTCTCAATATAGCTGTCAAAATTTTAATTATTTTTCATGTAAAAATAGTTGTTATAGTCTAAAAATATAGAATTAATACTCCTATAATGTTCTTTTACAAATTAATTAAGTAAATTTTAGAAGTTATAAATACAAATTAAATTATTTTTCCCTAGACTCTATCCCAACAAACTGTCTGATGATGGACAAAATGTCTGAAAATGCTTAGTGGGAAGTAATTTTAAAAGAGTAAACTCCAGTAAGTAGCAGTAAAAAGTGAATATCAATTAAAGTCTTGATTGATCATCATTTTCTATCTCCTTTTCAATATAGTGTTGATTCTTGATTGTATAAATTTTAAAGAACTTCAAGATATATAGATATAAAAATCTAGTTCATTCTAAAAAAGTGTGAATTTACTTATTCAATTCCAATAAATTCATTTGTGCTTGATTATATAAATAAATACTTTAATTGACATTGTATTTTTTAAAATTTACTCAACCTAAAATGCAGAGTATCCTTATAGAGATTTTTAAATAATTTGAATATGTAGCAATGCATAATGATTTTTAGCAGTATAGTTAATGTTTTATGATCACTACTGTACTTTATAATTTACAAGGGGTGTTCAAAAAGACCTTTGGTCGGAAAAAATACATTTATTGATTTTGAGGTACAAAACCCTAATCCCCTTCAAAGTAGTCTCCTTGGTAATGTATACACTTCTCTCAGCACTCCTGCCATTGCTGGAAACACTGCTGGAATGCATCTTTTGGAATGGCCATCAGCCGGTCTGTCGCATTTCGCATGATGTCTTCTCTTGACTAAAATCAGGTTATTTTTTAGCAGCATTTTCAGCTTGGGAAATAGCCAAAAGTCACATGGAGCCATGTTGGGAGAGTAAGGAGCGTGACGAACCACAGGAATGTTGTGTTTGGCGATGAAAGTCCGAATCAGATGCGCAGAATGGGCGGTTGCGTTATCATGATAGAGCTGCCAAGTTTTGGTTGACCACAGATCTGGTTGTTTGTGTTGCACAGCATCACAAAAGACGAAGGACTTCCTGGTAGTACTCCTTTGTGATGATTTGACCTTGTGGTGCTTACTTAGGATACGCCATCCCACGGGAATTGAAAAAAACTGTCAACATGACCTTGACATTGCTGCGGACCTGCCGCGCTTTTTTTGGCCTCAAGGATCATCCCCGAAAGCCTGCTGAATCTTGCAAATGATTTCCACTTTGGTATCGCCAAGCTTTTGGCAAAATTTGATGCGATATCACTGCTCACGTTGTTCAGTCATTTTCCAACTTAGTGGAATCCGACAAGAGCTTGCTACACATCCTCACTCATAGGCCGACTGCCAGCAACTGACGCTTCCTGCAGGCGGGAAAAAATTCAGGACTGTGCATGACTGTCCCCTCCACAACTCCACTGAAAGAGACTGCCATTGGTTTATGTGGGAAAAATAAAGGTCCAATACTTTTTGAGCACCCCTTGTATATATATTTCATAATTTTCTAATTTTGAAGTATTTTCTTGCAGAGCTTATACGTGTTTTATATTATTTATACATTGTTAATACTGAATTTAATATGTAGAATTGTTAATTTTTATTCTATCCTATAACATTAACAAGGAAACTGTCGGAGAGTGTCTTTTAATAAATATTAATAAAATTTTGTTAATAATTACATTAAAAGTATACAAACTCTATTTTAAATTTGTAATATTCACTAAAAGTGTTAATCAGGATTAATAGCAATCAAATGTCGTACTATTTCATATTAGTTTCTTTTACAGAACTATATACAAGAGTTACAATTACATCGACCATGGAAACAGTGGTCGGAGTGTGCGGTAAGGTGAGTGACTGGACAAGAGTACATCCACTCAAAAAAAAAATGGAGTTAGCCATGGTCTGACTCATGTAGGTTGAGGACGGCAGTCAAATGCCATGTTGCCAACTGCTGCAATCTAATCTTTCATATAACATTTATTTGAGTTTATTCCTTATTCTACTCTATAAATATAATATTGTTGTCTTCCTCTGCGACCCTTTTACTACTAAAAATTTGCATATTTGTGTTAAACTAATATGAAATAGTATGACATTTGATTGCTATTAACCCTGATTAACACTTTTAGTGAATATTACAAATTTAAAATAGAGTTTGTATATTATTAACTAAATTTATTAATATTTATTAAAAGACACTCTGACAGTTTCCTTGTAAGTGGAACTTTTTCATGCTTATCATAGAATTGGCCAAGTGCTTGATGAGGGTGACTTGATGGTGAGGAATGGGACTCAATATACTCTGATCATTCTATCTCTGAAGAGAGATTTCTGAGATTTGTTCAGAACTCAATCCTGGGTCTCAAGTGGCAATATGATTCCTTTTTCCATTTCAACCATCTATATGTAAATTTATGAATCAAAACTGATTATTGACTGTAATAACTGGCTTGGTAATATTTATTATTTGGACACCTTTCAAATTTAAAGTTGTGTTAATTTGTAAGTAAATTCTTTAAAGTCAGATTATCTGCCAAATTCTCAGGCTATGATTAGGCTAAGTTCCTAATTAGATATGAAGTAAATGAGTGGCTTAACTCTATTCGTAGACAAATTACTTTGTGTCTACTTATTAACTTAGCTAATTCATAGCCCAATAATTTGGCAGATTATTGAGCTTTAATCAAAAATTAGGTTTGTTGAGTTGTTGTTTATAAATAAATTTTTGTTTTTTTTAATAAAAATTTTTATTCTTATTTAAAATATGAAAAAATTTGATGTATGGCTGATTATAAATAAAGTATTTTTGTTTAATACTGTATATAAGCATTGTTTTCAAACTGTTTTTAATAATGGTATTTCAACTTGGTAATTTTTTCTTGTGACACCCTTCTTTATCAATGTAGTTATTGTGCCTTTTGTATTATTTTTACTGATAAGCTAAGAAGTGTTATGACGCTGTTCAGCACTATATTTTGCTGCACTCCTAAAGTGTCATTATTGCACCCTAGTGTACCACAGCATTCCAGTTGAAAACCATTGACATAGAAAGATAGCAGTCTAAATGTAAGCATGGTATGGCACTTCAGAATATGTGGAAGCCATTTCTGTAAAAAAAAAANGAAAGAGTATAATTTTACTTGTTTTTTAACTAAAAATTTTTTTTTATTTTTAGTATATTAATATTACCACCGATCCCATTGGTTTTAATAATTGAATTTTCTTTGTTGTTTGCAACAAACATTGCAAGCGCAACACAAGGTATATGAGCACTTTAGAATGAGATTCACATTGAGTAGTATTTCCTGCATCTTAGTGATGCAGGAAATACTACTCAATGTGAATCTCATTCTAAAGTGTAAAAACCTGATTATAATGTAAAGTAGAAATCAACAGCCAACTGTAATTGATCCTCTGTGATGCTTCCAGCCAAATTTGCAACATATCTTTGATAAACCACATTTTCTTGTGTCTCCACAGCCAAAAATTACATGGATTAAGATCTGGAGAACAAGATGGCCAGGCAGTAGAAAACATGGGATTGATCACTTTGTTGTTGGGGAAATGTTGCAGAAACTTCTGTAGGTAGAATCCAATATGTGGAAGTGCTCCATGATGTCGAAAGTGTTCACTGAAAGTGCTCTTGCTGTTTCAGGTTAACATATGACAAAAGTGTTGAAAATCTTTCAGAATCTCTAAGCAGTCTCAGGACCATTGGGATAAAGTTGAAGAAGAAGGTTGAATGATAAATGTGGCTGTGAATCCACATCAGACTGAAACTTTAGGCAAGTATAGCAGAGTCTTTATGTATAGCAGAGTCTTTATGTATAGCAGAGTCTTTATGTATAGCAGAGTCTGCTGGAAAACATGAGGGTGACAGTTAAGACAGAGTGATGAGCAATTGCTGGTTGTGGCTGATTTTATATGAATAACAATGCACCAACTTTCTTAATATCTTCTACACTGTGCTATAGGATATACTAAACTGCCCTGACTTGCACTACTTGAAGCCTGCAACATTATTCCTCAACTATTCAATGACAGCTCTGGTAACATCTTTAGTGACTGTGAATCTTTGATTAACCCTCAACAAGATTGGACTCCCAGACCTTCAGTTTCCTCAAATTATATGATTCATTCTCCTGAGAGATTGTGGAGTCAATGGTACTTGGTCTTGGATGACAAAATTCCTCAAGTGCAGTTGGAGCATTGCCATTGTTTTCATAAAACAACTCCACAAAAAAAATGCATGTTTTGGCATTGTGATGATTACCATAACTGATAAGAATGACATTCAGTGATTGTGGCTACTTTCATACCCAGTATTTTGCCGTGTTTATTTAGAGGAAACTGCTTTTTTTTCTTTGTTGTTTACATTGCCAAAAATGTCAATTGTGAATATTGGTATCAATTTCTTTTCATGGAACTGTGTTCCGCATGTCCTGAAATGTCACCATAACAAATTTGGTTGCATTTGGACTGTTAAATATTTTCCAGATTGAATTTGAATTGAATTGATAGCATTGGACACTTTAATTACAATTACACAGTACTTTAAAAGCATGTTATATCTACAACTAATCATTTTTTTTTTTCCAGACCAAATTTGACAATCTGTATTGCTGCCGAGAATCTGTACTTGATGCGTAAGTAAATTTTTTGTTAAAATCATGATGTTTTTAATTACTTATCTATTTTAATTTTTAAGAAAAATTAACTATTTCATTCAAAATATATAATGGGTTTAAATAATTCTAGAGCCGTTACACAATTTATTTAGAAAGAATCGAAGATTCATTTGGTCAGAGGAATGCCAAAAGACGTTTGAAACGGTAAAAAACTNATATTATTCACACTTTATTTTTGTATTTAGTGAGAAATATTTAGGAAAAGAAAATTAAAATTATTATTATAATCTTAATATTCGTTTAGTTTAAATAATACACAAAATAAACTGATTGCAATAATAAATAACATACTATTTCTACCGATTTTGCTTTAATTCTAAGACGTTTCGTGTTTATATTTCTTCTATAGCATTGCACAAAGCTCACAATAAGATTTATGTTCTTGGATTTTCTACTTGATCCATATATCGAACACCGTTGTCACCAGACCATGTAGTGAACATAAACGTGGTGATACGGTGTATTATAATTCCAAAAGAGGTAATCTGGTAGTGGATAAGTGTGACAGTTACAACAGTTGTCATATACAACTATTCCTTGACTTCATACATTGTATCACCAAATATGAGATGATCTATTTTTCTAACATATCGAACCGAACAATCAAATTTCATGCAGTTCTATATTAAATCTGATGTAGTAAGCTTACATATTGAATGACATGCTTCATCGATTCTTTACAGAATAATATATTATCATATGAAATGTAAAAATCAGTTATGTTGTATCAAACGATTTTTTTAATCCATCTCTCCTTCTGATTCGTCCTAGTTTATTATAAAAGTTTATCATTTCAACATTTTTTTTAATATTTTCAGATAAGATATATTTGAAGAATTTTCTTTTAATATAAAATCATTTCAACTCTGATGGCATTTTTATCAAATTTTTGATAATTATTAACATGATTTTGATTTTATTGATTTAAAATGTTTCAAAATTCAGTACATTTTTGGAAGTAAAGAAGCAGTTTGCAATGAAAAAATATTCATTGAAAAATTTTTCTAATTATGTTAAAATGTTTTTCCATTTTCTAAATTTATATCATGAAAAATGCACTTTTTTCTTTTTTGATTTTTTTGTGTAACTCTATTCTCAAGTTTAACAACCCCATTCAGATTTTCAGCTTGTCCAAATTTTCAAATATATATGTAAATTAGGATTTTAAGCATTGTAAACTCCATACACTATAAATAAAGTTTAGACATTGTAAATTTAAGCCAGTATTTCACAAGGAATGTACAGATACTTACAAAGATTCAAAATATAATTTACAGAATCGCTAGTATTTTTTGTTTAAGTATAATCATAATTTCAAAATTAAAAAAACTATGAATGATTCATGTTAAAATATCAAAAGTGAAGTTACCATTTAAAGGGGCTAATATCCATTTTTATGACAACTGAATCCAGATTTTTGTTGCTTCACAGTACATGTAAATTATTATGTACATATATTGATGTGCAAATTTCTTTTAGTAAGTGTTAAATGTCAAAAATATGATGAAATTATTTTAACTTCCCATTCAGCAGATACTAAGTATGGATCTTTCATGCTCATCATGAATTTTACCAGGACCACAATGGAACAATCAGGTGGTGAATGACAGTGTTCAATGCATTTGAGCCTATGGTAGACACTGTTCTTCATCATATGTAAAATTGAAAATATCTGAGGTTTCAATTCAGATTTGAAACTAAGTTAGATTTTTGGAGTAGCAGGCACCCTGTTCTTAACTGTTTTAACCATCTGGTTGCCAGTATTTTGACTTTGTGTATTATTATTTCTTTTTTCACATTGGCACAATTCATTAAGCTTTATTATAGTAATCCTTAAACAATTAAGACTGGTTTCCACTTGTGCATAATGGCAGTGGAAAATATGTCAGTGACATCTACATAGCAATTTTGATATCATTCTCTGATGGAAAGAATACTGCACTTTAAATCGACCTGATCTTAACTTTAACATTGTGGTGACAATCTAAGAGTAAATATTTGACCATCACATTGTTTGGGTTAATAATTTTTGTATATTAATACAGCTATTAACATAACATCATAAATATAAATGCTTTTTGAAATGGGAATCACTGAACAGATTTTCTGCTACAGTTAGATGTACTGTTATAACTACTTCTCTTTTCATGACATAAGGTGAAAATTTGCTCTTAAGTCTTGAAAAGAGAATTATTTTGCCCTTATATTGGCTAAAAGTATTTTGTATTTCTTTACAGTATGGAAGGTTTCAAGGTTGTGAAAATAAATGAAGTGATACGCTCTGTTGACATAGTGATTACTGCTACTGGTAATTATAACTTTTTTTAGTACTTACATAAAATTTTTCTTAAAATAAACAAATTAAAATTGTGTGTATATTTTTTAATTTGTTACATTGAACAGGAAATAAAAATGTAGTAACACGTGAACACATGAATGTCATGAAAAACGGTTGTATCGTGTGCAATATGGGCCATTCAAATACTGAAATTGATGTAGTAAGTATAATATATACATATGTATAATTTTTTTCAATTAAAAATATGATTCTACATTCTTGTTTCTATTTCAATAAAGCAAAGTTTGAGAGCTCCAGATTTAACTTGGGAAAAAGTGAGATCTCAGGTCGATCACATCATCTGGCCGGATGGAAAGCGAATCGTTTTGCTAGCAGAGGTTTGTGTATATTTTTGATCTTAGAAGTATTAGAAATAATATAATCTGTTGAAACTTTTTATACTCATGCAAAAATTAAGGATGATATAGTTTATTACTTTTCCACATATATGAATAGAAGCAAACTATGCCATTTTAGTTCAACAGCACATTCCAAGACATTCACTACAAAAATTTGTTAAAAATTATGTCCAAAAGAATCAATTAATTTATTGACTTGTTCATAAAAAGTACATAATCCCAGTTCTTTGGGCCAAGGATGATGTTTTCTGCTCCACAAATAATAAAAGACAACAGCCATACACTAAGTGTTTAGCTGGAGGAAGAAGGAGAAAGGAGAGGAGAAGGAAACAAAGAGAATGAGGAGATAGAAAGAAGTTCTCCTCTTCACACTGAAAGGGCATTCTCACTAGTAGCAATGGGATGAATTTTGTTGGCCTTTGGAAGAACATTTCCACTTGATACAGTTGTCTGTATATAGTAAACCTGCAAATACTTAACACTATGGCTATGCTAAGATCTGTAGCAGGGATGTCATCTGTCACTTGTGGACAAAAATCGACCTTATGCCATTATAATTCTTGGGCATCCACTGCTGAAGGATTTTCCAACATTTTCATTCCATTGGAACCTCTGCTAGACTCTTGAAATGATACACTGTGGGATATTGTCACTTGATTTTATTCTGTTTTAAACTGACCAATGATTCTTCCTTGCATGACATTGTTGACATGAGTTCTTTGAGCCATATTTATCTAATACAAGCCAATTTTACTTAAGTAAAAGCAAAAAAAATGCTCTTTTTGCAGTTATGGAATGTCTGGCTTCAATGCATTAACTGCCGTCTCTTGACACGACTACAGCACTACCATGCATCCAATGCACACAGCAATTGTACAGAATTGTTTTGAAGTTGGAAACAAATATGGAACTATTTAAATGCAGATACAAATCGTGTAGTCAAACATTTTCATGAATTTAACAATTATTATTAATTTCTGCACAAGTGTACTTGTATTTCATTAAAGAATATTTTATGGTCAGTGGACACACTACATTATAGAAATGCAGTTAAATGATCTCTCACATTAGCTGTTACTTATTTCTCAAACTAACAACTTCTTTTAATATCAGTTGTACTTATAAGAAATATCTTGATTTCAGAGACATTAAAAATGTTCATTTTAAATCAATGAAATATAGAATTGTAAATATTTAAATAATTCTGAACTTTTGCAAATTTTTTCTTGTTTTTAAAATTAGCTTTGTGCATTTTGGGAAGGGCAGAGGAAAGATCTGTCAGCTCTTAATCAATCATTAAAAATAAATAAATAAAATATGACAAAAACAAATAACTTTTCTTTCTGAAATATTTTTACATGTATAAGTTTCTTGAATTTATTGAAAAGAATTTATGCACAAAATTATTGTCAGTACTTGATGATGATGATATTTAGATAAGCCACTTGCTCTGATTACACAGATTTTGTATTTTTTTTTTTCCTTTCTACAATAATTATTTGATAAATTTTCTAAATATTGTTTTATTAAGTGTACAGGCATACCTCGACTTACGTCGTTTCGAGTTACGTCGTTCCCGATTATACGTCGCTTGTTAAAATGTATATGGAAAAATAAAAATCAAGTTTAAGTCATTTTATTCGACTTTACGTCTGTCCGCCACAAATATTGAAGTCGTAATATCACTAGATAAACGTTTAAAGCACATAAAATCATATTAAAATATATACAAGTATGTACTGTATTTACAGTACACGCATTTGTAAATTTAGATTATTTTTTTTGTACTATATTAAAAACTAAAATTTATTTGTTTGTAAGCTTAAAATAGATTTTTATTAACCATATATTATTTAAAATGCTTTCCTAGTGATAAGTAGATTCGGAGACAGGTAAATTCGACTTACGTCGTTTTCCTGGAACCAATTACCGACGTAAGGCGAGGTATACCTGTATTAAAAACTAACTAATTTTATAAATTCTTCAATATTAGACATTTTTTGATCTGTCATAGATCAATCAAAAAAATTCACACAGTTTTTCAGGCTAAAATTAAGTGAAAGAAGAATAAGCACTAACATAGTCTATATAACCTTTTTTCCAACAAGGTAAAAGTTTGTAAATGACACTCACAATACTAAAGTGGCATACATTTATTGTGATGACATTGAGATGGAGATGTTGATGAATGCTGATGGGAAGTCATTCGAGTGTTTGTGCATACAAAATAACTCGTTTATTTTGGAATATTCTGTTGTTAATTGACATTTATTTTATATATGATTGCACAAATGGGGAGAAGGTAGTGTTGATGATGAATTGTATACAGAAGGGAGTGGTAATAAAAAATTAAGCAAAATCTGTCATTGCAATGTGTGCACACCACCTAAGAAGTGAAGAAAGCAGCCAACTACATTTCCAGTGCTTTACAGTTGAACATATGATTGCTCAGAACAAAGAAAAGGTGTTAATTGGATAGTGCAATATCTGGAGAAATGGAAGATAGAATAGAATTTTCCAACCAAGGCTGTAGAGCTTGCTGGATGGCCAAGAAGGTTAAAACATACATGTACAACTATGTGGACCAGGTTTGAATATACAGTCCATTTTTCATAATATATTCAACAACCTGTTCAAAAGCATGTCATTCTTGTGGCATGAAAGCAGCAAAAGTCCTGAAGCTTGCTTGGCTTCAGGGAGTTTCCTAGCTGATATAAATGTGAATGAATGGTTTCATTGAAATGATAACATTGAAAAACTGTGTGAACTATTTGGTTGTCTGGTGTTTTTGAATAACCTGATACATGAATAAAATTTGAAATTTGATTTCAGGGCCGTCTAGTTAATCTCAGTTGTTCCACAATACCCTCTTTTGTGGTTTCGATAACTGCTGCCACACAAGCATTGGCTTTAATAGAACTGTATAATGCTCCAATAGGCAGATACAAAAATGATGTTTATTTATTACCAAAAAAAATGGGTAAGTTTTCAAACTTACTTACTTTTAATTAATTTATTGAAAATATGCAGAAAGGTTCTTACATTTTATCTTCTTGTTAGATGAATACGTCGCCAGCTTACATCTACCGTCGTTCGACGCGCATCTGACCGAATTGACCGATGAGCAGGCAAAATATATGGGATTAAACAAAGCAGGACCATTTAAGCCAAATTATTACAGGTCTGAATAAGATTTATGCAGTCTTTTCTAAATATATTTTTAAATCTAGAAGTCAATATTTTAAGTATAATTAAATGCGGACACTTTTACTTTTCTAGATATTAATCAAACCGCTGTTGATTAGTTACGTGAATTGCCTGCATTCATCATTTCACTTCCATTGCATCGAAACATTCCACCTACTGCCTGTTAACTACAGATTAAAGGAAAGGGAGCTGTACAACCCATAGATTACAGAACGGGAATAAAGAACGTTGTTCTTGGCAATCAACTTCACCTTCTGCGGATAAAATTTTTTTCAAAAATGTACAATTTATTGAATGTTTATTGCCTTTTCCATAAAAAAAAAAGATGTGATATTGATTTAAATGAATTATATGTTAGAGAGCGAGAGCGAAATGAAGACATAAACATAATTGGCAGTCACAAGTGGTAATTTAGAACATTCACAAAGTAAAAAATGGATTCTGTAAAATAGAGCAAAGAGTATGTGTTACACATTCCAAATAATTGTTTCATATATTTTAGATAAGTAGTTTTGCATCTTCAAGAACATTGTCAGTTGAGTATTAATTTCAGATAAGGATCATTTATTGTACATTCTTGTGCCAAATGCTGGTACGTTTCCAGTTGTCGTCGTCGTTACTTTATTATTATTATTATTTTTTTTTAATTAGTTATCAGGGCATTCCACTTGCGTATGCTTAAGTAAGTTTAAGGATACAAAGATTTGGATGTGCTTTTAATCTTTCTTTTTAGCTGGTGTCATAACTATAAAACTTCATTTTTTTAAATTGTTGTTATTATTATTATTATTTTGCTACTTATACACTTAAACAGGTCATTATTAATATTAGGCAATCCATTTTTAACACATACAAACAGGAATGTTTAGCTAGAACTCTGCAGATTTTAAAATCTCATTATTTATTATTGTGAGTGTCGTATTAACTCGGAATAGTTTTTAAGTTTTAATGAAATATGTACTACTATCAATAAATGAATCGTGGAATGTGATCAGAGAAACAAACATAGGAAAAAATATATATATACATATATATATTTTTTTTAGAGTAAAAAAAAGCCATAAAATTCTTTAATGAAATGTTATTCTGTTTGTATTGTTTAATGTATATTTTGAAAGAAATGTTCAAATGTTTCTCTCTATAATTTAGTTATTGTAACATAACAGAAATAAACATCCAATCATTTGTTTATTGATGATGTATTCTTTATTGTAAGATAGTTAATTACACTTAAAATAATGTTTTTATTAAGGAAAACTTGATGTAATCTTTCTTACTGCGACATTACCTGCAATATTAACGAGTTTTTTTTAAGTAATTTTTTTAAGTAAAAGAAAGAACAGGTTTTTAGTTTTCCAAAAGAAAATTCTCAAAAAATTTTTTTTTGGGGTTATTTAAATTGTAATCCAATATACAGTGGAGTAATTTAGGTATCATTCTATAAAATCGGTTTTATGGTTCTCATTAACCGGTAAGTTTTTAAAAAAAATTTGTTAAAATGTAATCAAATTGATGCTTATTAATTGTAATAAAAGGTTTTTAAAATAATAAAAATTATAGATTATTTTCAAAAACTTTGGTAAAAACAAATGATTTAATTAGGAGCATTTGTTTTTGGTTAACTTATGATTCTTGGCTGTGAATTACTGTACATTTTGTGCAAGTTTAAAAGTTACTTTTAATAACCAAATCTGTAGGGCGGATGGCCGAAGCGAGTAAAGCACCAACTTACTGCTCTGAGGGATCCGGGAAATTTTCAAGGGGTAAATGTGTTGCAGGGAGCATGTGCCCTTTTCTAATCAGAGTTTTTGAGATCCTTAATCGAAAGGGTCCCAAAATTCCATTGTTAAAAACAACAGAAAATATGACTTCTGTCTTATTCTGCAAATATAAAAGAAACTAATCCTAAAGTTAAATTTGAAGACAAAGTCTGTTTATAAAGGAACTACTATTTATTCACTTTTAGTGTTCCAAAATACAAACTTTAGAAGACCTTTCACTGTAGGCTACTTGGTCGTCAAAATTAAAATTACCCTTTAAAAACAGAAAAAAAAAATACAAATTTAAAAATTAGAACTGGCAATGCCACACACAACTTTCCTTCCATCCTTTATATCTGGCTTATTCCTTTTTAATCGCGGTGATATTTTTCTGTGACCGCGATCATGGTTTTACTATCTTGATTGTAATACTGTTGCTAGGATATCTCGACCGAGTCTTATTTTTGGCAATCTTTACGAATTACTGCAAATATACCCTGTCGCGAATTCATATTTTTTAAAATCAAAAATTGAATTGAGTTTAAATATGAATATCTGGCAACGTTGTATTAGGTTAATTCCTCGCCAGACAGCGCTTTATCTGTTGTTCTTGTGTTGTTTACGAGTATTCGTCGCGAATATCACAATGGTGAATTTTTGTGTAATTGGGTGTAATTCTATAGTTCATTCGAGAACAAAGGAATATCATTTTTTTTAAAATTCCTGGCATTATTTTTCATCGAGAACCCCTAACCGAGAAGCTTTTACGACGAAAGCAATCTCTAGAATTAACCGGAAAAATTTCAATACGGATAAAATGAATGTCAATACACGAGTTTGTCAGAAACATTTCATTTCAGGTAAGCGATAAATCAGATTAAAAATTATCAATAAATGATTAGATGAACTTTTGCATGAGTATCATGAAGTTAAATAAGGTTAGATTTTAGATACGTATACTGTCATGGCGCCCGTCCCGATTGTTCGTACATAAGACTGACTCCTCCCGGAGGGGAGCCGCCGGCAGGTCGCCTTGAGCCAAACGTTACTAGTTATTGATTCACGGCAGTTCTTGAACACAATGTAGAATTACATACGGATCCGTATGTAAAATTTGATCTGTGCTTGTAATAAATATACAGTAAGAGTTAATATTGAAGTGTTAAGCAAAGATAATCGCTTAGCAGATGAAAAATTAGAAATGCATTTTGAACCAATTGCACTTCCAGTGTAATTTACATAAATAAAAGTGTGTGTATTTTTTAAGATATAAACCAATAATTTCCATTGTTCACTTACACATTAGCCAAGTTAGATTATTTTGGTGAGAACATTAACATTACAATGACTTTTTTTACATTAGTAACAAATAATCATTACGTAGTAACATTCAAATTGTTCCTGACAAATTCTTTTTTATTACTTATATATAATATACCGTAATGATAAGTTCTTTATAATATTGTTTAATATTAATCTATATAAATGAGAATGTTTGTTCGCTATACACTCCTAGGTCGTTTCATCAATTCCTATTAAACTCGGCAGTTACGTTTACCTACTTCTAACTTAGATAATGTCGTACATCCCACCACAAAATATTTATCGAATTTCTGTAAATCAATTAATTTCTATATACATTCAATAATCAGATTTCCTGCCTAAGCTTTCCATATTTGGTCTCGATTTTCATCTATCTAACTCCTTTCTCGCGATTTTTTGCCCGAGCAACGGCGGGTTCATCTGCTAGTTTTTATATAAATTAATAAAAATAATTTAATATTAAATTGTCATAATAATATATTATTGAAAAAGTTTTTTACCCCAAAGGAAAACCTTCCTCATTATATGATGATTCATCACCAGACTGGGTGTCAACATTATACGTGGGGTATGAGAGTGGTCACAACCCAAATGCATATCATAAGCGTTACGAAACAGCATATAATCATGAGAAACACAGCCACTTGTAAGATAGTTATGGGTCTCTAAAGATTTGTAAGCTTTCACAAATGAAAGCTTAGAAAGTAAATTAAATGTGGTAATTTGTCGTCAAAATCAAATAGTTTATGATGCTACTAAATTCTACATTAGGCCACAACTCTTGATCTACAACGAAGATACTGGCTGACTTCGTATGGTTCGACACCTTGACATAATGAAACTTTCTTTTTATATAGAACAGCATCTTGTCCTGTCAGACTGCAAGAATAGCCCACCAGAAAAGCATCTTTTTTAAACTTTCTCCATGATATAAAAATACTGCAGTTCTATTATGTTTATATAGAAAAAAAGGCGCTGCCAACCTGTCAAATAACAAGCCTGGTGTAAACTAAGCAAGCGAATGCTAGACCACAAACATGGCGAAGGAGCGGCGCAAACGTGCGTTTTATCACGTGACATGCGACCTTGAAACCTCGTGTATATATCTAGCGTACCAGAGCTCTTTTTTGTCCCATCTATATATATAATCGAGTTGGGTAGATAATAATAATAATCGCAGAGCCCAAACGGTTGGGAGTTGAAATTTGGTACACAGTTAGGGTACATCATGAGAACGCACACTAAGAAGGGATTTTTCGAAATTTCTCCCCACGGGATAGAGGGACAGGATTCAGTCTTAACACTTCCATTGTTGATGGAAGTGTTACTTAACAATGGAAGTGTGAACAATGGACTTGTCAACAATGGAATTGTTAAGAAAAAGTGACGTGCAAGACGCAGATGCAGTTTTTTTCGTTTTGCGGGAAATCGAACATATTTTTAGACTCATTTAAAAATTCTCTAATTAGTTTGGAAACAGGGGGACCCAATTCTTGCATTCTGTGAAAATGGGTAAGGTTGACTATAACGTAATAATCTTAATCTTCGCTATCGTTACTTTTGCCCGAGCAACGCTGGGCCTACCTAGTTCGAGATAATTTAATTTAATAGCGTTCCCACTTCCTAGGAGGAGGACCTAGGGGTTAGATTTTGGGAAGCGGCGTTGGTGTTATGTAACGGTGTCGTTTATAGCGACGAAATGTAAATTAATGGATGCGCCAAATATATTTTATATATTTGGCGCAGAATTGAACCATATAAAATAATTGTTCAATTCTGAATATAATCATTAGGGGTATTTGTAAGGTGAAGGACAGTGAAATATAAAAAAAACTAGAACACTTCAATTGATGAAATCATACTTGTTGATTTAATGTTCAATATCTAACAATCTCGTGCCACTAAATGTTATATCAATCATAGAATAATCTCCAAATGAAGCTATTCTCATAAATGGTCCTTGTTATTTTCGTAAATGTAGTTGTAAGTTCGAGCCCCGGGTCCCACGTCAAATACTTATCATCGACACATGCTCTCGGATATTCAACTGTCGCACGAAATTCTACCATTCCAAGCTCCTCGGTCTTTCGGAATTCCAAATGGTAAAATCCGAAATAATCTTCAAGTGGATCTCTTATAATACTTGATTCATCGCTATTCTATAGATAGTGTTTCGTCAATAATTTATGTTCGCCTTGATACATGTGGAAAGAATAGAAAGCCAGAAGCCTGCGTGCTTTTTGGGAGTCGTTTGTTTTAGGTTTAGAGCAGGAGTGATTGGCTCACCCCTGCTCTAAACCTAAAATAAAACAAACGGGCCAATTTAAATTTTATGATTTTTGGCGGGCCGCACATAAAGTAACACTTATTAATAATTTACAAAACTTTATTTATAATAAACATTAGAATAAAAAAATATAAAATTTAAAAAAAGTAAAGATTTCATATACAAATTTTAATGCAAAATAAAAACAAACAAGAAAAGAACAGAAAAACGAATTTACTTGAAATTTTTAATGAGAAATTTGGCACTGTTTTTTCGATACAAGCTGATCAATATCAGCCGGAATTGATGAGGTAGCTACACGTACGCAGCTTTCTAATCGTGCATCACTCAGTCTTGATCGGTGGTCATTTTTGATTAATTTCATGGTTGAAAATAATTGTTCGCAAACATACGTACTTCCGAACAGAGACATCATTTGCTTTGCATTTTTCGTCAAAAGCGGAAATTTCTCAGGGCTCACATAAGATTTATAAAAATTTTCGATGTTTACTGAGAAAAATACATTTTTTAAATCGGTATTATTCTGCATGTCAATCACTTCCATTTGAAAGTCTTCGGGAACTGTATCCACATCGATATTAAATGGCGAGGAAAACATTTTCATGGAAACCGCTGTCTTCTCAGCTTTGAACATTTGGAATCGTAATTGAAATTCGTTGATTAAAATGTCTATATATTGTGCGTATTTTTGAGAAGTAGTAACGTTTTCTTTTTCTAAATGTGGAAAGTGAGACACATTATTCTGCAAAAGATGCTGTTTCCACAATTTTAATTTGCGCTCAAAGCCCTGAATTTTATCATACAAATTGTGAATAAACTGTCCTTTGCCTTGAAGTTCCACATTAAGATCATTGAGATGCTGAGTCATGTCGATAAGAAACCCAAAATCGCACATCCATTCTTTATTACCAAAATGAGGAAAGGCATATCCCTTCATATCCAAGAACAATTGTATTTCGCTTTTTAAGTTGTATACTCTTTTTAGCATTGCACCTCTACTAAGCCAACGTACTTCGGTATTAAAAACCACGTCGCCATATTCAGTTTCTAAATCTTTCAGGAATTCTTTAAATTCACGGTGATTTAACGCGCGCGACTTTATAAAATTGATTAGTTTAATTATTGGTACTGTGACATTTGGCAAACTCAATCTTTTCGCACACAAATTTTCCTGGTGAATTATGCAGTGGTTAACGAATATTTCCCTTCCTGTGACCTTCTTAATGTCTTGAAATAGCCTTCCCGATACTCCTACCTCCATGCTTGACATTGCTCGTGCTCCATCTGTCGATATACCAATAATCTTTTCTAATGAAATTGAAAAATTTTCCAACACAGACTTTAGTTCATCGTACAGGTCTTTGCCGGTTGTAGTCCCTTGCATTGGAATCAGTGAACACAATTCTTCGGTAATATTAAATTTGGTGTCAATACCACGTAAAAATATAGCCAGTTGTGCTGTATCGCTAATATCGCAACTCTCATCAAGTGCCAAAGAACAGTATTCGAATTTTGCAATGCGTTCACGAAGCGTTGTTGCTATGTTCTCGGACAAGTCTTCAATTCTCCTTGCAATGGTGAATCTTGATAAACTAATGTTTGAAATAATATTTATTTTATCAGGAAATGCTATTTCTGCAACAGCAGTCAGACATTCTTTTATCATCTCTCCATCCGCAAAGGGTTTCATTTTTTTTGCCAGTATTTGACTGACAACAAAACTAGCCTTTACTGCCGTATTTGATAAAATAGCTTGATTTTTAAAAATAGCCTGTTGTTTTCCCAAGTTTTTCTCCATTTGATTAAACTTATCTATCCGGAGTTGTCCTGTTAAGTTTTTATATTGTTGTTCATGTTTTGTATCGTAATGCCTTTTTATGTTATATTCTTTTAATGTCGACACAGTCTCTGAGCATATTAAGCATACAGCTTTATCTTCGACGAAAGTGAAAAAATAATCAAATTTCCACTTTTCTTGGAAATGCTGTGCTCATCCGCAACCTTCCGTTTTTTTGTTTGCTTTTCCGACATGCTATTATGGATTAAAAATTTGAAAGTTAAAAAAATTTATAGGAAAACTTAATTTTGAATGAAAGAAAACTCTAATATTACCTTTTTGACAATAATATTGCACTCACTCCTTTCAAGAAACACAAGAATTGCTAAAATTGCTAGTTAACAGCTTACGGGTCTGACTGATTGTGTGAAGCAAACACAAACAAGAACAGACGCGGCGCGTTCGTATTGCATGTTTGAACAAGTCGCCGACAAGTGAGTAACTCGTCACAAAAAATTGTTTCGGTTTAGTATGTACTACCATTTTATTATAAATAATTTTATAACAATATATTGATGGGAGAAAGTCGATAAAATAAATTCAATTTAAAAAATGCTTGGCGGGCCGCATAAACATGTTTAACGGGCCGCGTGTTGCTCATCCCTGGTTTAGAGTATTGAAGAATTCTTTAGATTGGTTCAGCTTTCTCTGTGGGATAATAAGGGTGGATGCTAGCAACACAATATTATCTGCGCAGGCATTATTTCCATAGGATGTAATGTTTCATCATCCGAGAGGAAACATTTGTCCAAATCATCGATGTAATTAGAGGTGACAGCGGGTCTTCTTTTTGCGTTAATGTATTGTAAAGTTAAGAGGTTTTTGGCAATATATAAATATTAAGTAGTTTGCACCTTTTGAGCTCTCTCTGACATTGTACTCAAAATTTTGTTCCTTTGAAACCATGGGTTTTTTAATAGCTCTTTCGTAAAATTTTAGGAAATGCAGATGCGGAGATTGCTTCTGGTCGAGAAATGACAGGTAAACTTTTTTTCTGGGATTTGATTATAGAATTGAAGATATTCATTTGATTTTAATTTTAAGAAAAATTTTTCATACTTCCTTTGCTAGCAACTTTTTTCCTTTCCTGGCTGTTATACAGTGGCCCCAGATTTTTATTTTTGGACTCAGGACATCTTGAAACGTCCAGAAATACAAAATTCGAGTCATTTCTCTATGTGTGAATTGGGGGGGGGGCACAATTTTGTTCATCTTGTTTGAAGATTAATAACGCCTGTGCTTTTGTCGAAAATTTCTGAAATTTTGCAAAGAAGTTTGTTTATTAGGAGGATTGATGCTATTAAATTTTGGTGGTTAAAGGTCGAGGGAGTGGGGAGATAACGGGGGTCGTGTATCTATCCAGTAGGATCGTCTCTACCCTCAAAATTAAGCATTCCCCCATTTTATAAGTTAAAAATGTAACAGATGGCGCCACCAAAATTTTAAATGTTGCCGAGAAAGTCGAGCAACTCGTTGCTGGATTTACCATTTCATTTGATTGTCGCTACACACGTTTCATCTTTCGTATCGACTTTATCCCAGGATTAAGGCCTAAGTAACTTATAATAGTTATATAGTAATTACGCATATATTTTTAATAGGAAAATCATTGATACAGTTTCTAGTGCAAAAGTTAAGCCGGATGGCCGATCGGTTAAGGTGGGGTCCCCAAACTATCGCTCTACGGACCCGGGATCGAATCCGTCCCTCACCATTATGGGCCTGGCCAAATCCATAATGGGTCTGCTGAAAAGAGGTCCTCTTAGTGCCCACAGGGAGGAGTTAAAAAAAGTACAGAAGTTGATAAATCGCTAAAATACGTGCATTCGCAAAGTATTTCCGATAGGAAACAAGCGAAACGCCCAATTTTTACAGGTTCCACATGCACATTAGATATAAATTTAAGTTTTTGTGACGTTTGCAAGACCTTTGACTCTCTTCGCCCGATGGGCACTACGGTCTTTTTGTTTCTATAAGTAATGGGTTCGGCCTGACCCCGACATAATCCGAGGAATTGTTAACGAAGTTGTCAAAAAATAATGTTTCTTTACGTAAAATCTTAGAAATTGGCATAAGATCAGGCCGACAGGAATAATAAACTGGCATTTCAGTTACGCGTGAAATCAGCTGACTGCAACTCAGTCCTTTGGCAATCTTAGAAAATGACAATTTGGTTATCTTCCTGTTTATTATTATTAATTCTTTTTATTACAACACTGTACAAAGGAGGTAAAAGCATAAGGCATCCGTCACTAATTCTTTTTTTTGTTTGCTTACGTGACAAGATGTGTTCCCCTCGTGACAGTAGCAAAAGTTTCGATAAAAAAACGCACGCATCCCACAAGAAAATTACGTTCTATCGACTACTCGTATAACAAATTTTCAATTTGTCTAAATCTCGTACAAGAACATTTATACGATTAAATATCCTCGATTATAAAAATTGCCAAAACATAAAATGGAACAAAATTCATCGATTTGGTTTGTTTTGTTTTTACATTATTCTGCAAATACAAAATTATTTATTCCTCATAACAGATGCACTTATATCTTGGCACATTTACATCTGATGCAGAATGTTTTTTTTAATATACTAATGCATAAAGGATTCAAAATTTTTCTTTAATATATATATATATGTGTGTGTGTGAATTTGTATGTATGTATATATATATAAATCTGAAGACCAACCGGAGATACTAACTATGACTTAAAAATATTCGACGCACGCTTTGAATCGCTGGTACGGATGCGACGACTTAATTATGGTATAGAAATAAAAAAATCCTTTAGCTAAATTACATTTATCTACACGAGAAGACGTGGGTCTTCCGAATTTCGTCGTTAAAATAAGAAAACAAAACGAAGTCACGGATGGGTTTCGTAACAAAAGTACCGTAGGATTTCGGTCTGTTGTCGAAATCACCCCACTGTTTTAAGGCAGGAGAAGGCCGATGCGGTATATCCGTTTGGAGACTTAAAAAATGAGCATATATATAGATTTTTCTTTTTTTTACTCTCTGTTCCGTGACTTTGTTAAAGCTAATCACCATTTGGATCCTGAGATATTTTGTTCTACGCACCATACAAAAATTTGTGTACCGTTTTTTTTGTGCTATTTTCTAGATCACTTGTTTTTTCGTCCATTTTCTAAAAAATATTCAAAAAGACGTCTGTTTAAATTCTCTTTCCTGAGATCTTCTCGATGGTTCCGGCGAAGGAATAATGGTGGGTTTCTTCATGACCGGGGGTTTGACCTTGACCGGTGGTTTAAATGTGGACACGCCTCCGCTGACCACGTTCCGCGCGTCCGACGATTCCTCGTTGGGCTGTGGCACTATGTCCGCTTTTTTGTGGGGAGACGTCCAAGTGATTTCCACCGTTTCCACTTTCACTTCGTTCTGGCACCCCACGTTCTCGGACAAGCCCTCCAGGTTCTTCACTTCCGGCAGATCCTTCCCTTGAACGGTAAGCTGCGGCGAGGAAGAGGGACTGAAATCGGTTCCCGTGCTGGCACTACGCTTGACGGTACGAAAAGTCTGCGTCTGTGCGTCCGAAGATCTGGGAAGACTGGACACGTGACTGGCACTGCGAGACATGGAACCTTTCTTCATGGTGCACTGGTTAGACATGGCGAATCTCTCTGCCGCCGTCATTTCCGGGCTGTCGGAACTTCTGGTGGCGTTGCGAAGATTGGCGCACTCGCTCTTGTCCAGCGATTCTTTTGAGGAATCTTTACAACCCGTTGTGGGACTGGATGGATTGATGGGAAGATCCATCACCAGATCGGGAGTGTCCTGACACTGCGTGTGACTCCTCTTCTCAGTTTTCTCTTCTAGAGTGTTAATACTGCAGAACACTTTGGCCAGAGCCGAATCTAGATCGTCCGAAAGTTCTTTCTTCTTCCTTTCGTTGGAAGAATACTGGGAAGACGTACTTTTGAAATCCGAAGCGTCGACTTTAAACGTGTCTTCCAAAGATTCGTCGGCGTTCGAAGAATGGGCAAAATGATTATCCTGAGAAGATACTGGCACCTGAAGTTTGCTATGAGAGGATAAACTTTCGCCAGAAGTTTTGGTAGGATTTAGACTAGAATTACTCTGTGACTCGCCATATTGGCCATCCGTGCTCCTTTCGCTTGATCCGTAATCGGAGTAAGTCTTGGGACTGACACCGGTTAACGAATCACTGCTGCTACTAGTCCTCCTCTTGTCACAACTTTCTTTATCCTCGTCCCTAGAAGAAACTTGTATTGTCAGTATACTGTGTTTAATAATTTAATTTCTTTATGTTAATTCTTACTTTATTTTCAAGAGGATGTATTTATCTGGAATTAAACCGTTATGATCGCAGAAACTTCCTTTCCACCAGTCATTGGACACCTGACTATACAATAGTATGGTATCCCCTTTTTTGAATGACAATTCTCTTTCAGAACGTGCAGTAAAATCAAATTGGGCAATAGCCTCCAATGTTTCACCCTCTAAAAAATTATTAAACGTCAATACAAATATATCATTCAGTAAATAAACAAAAAAACTAATTTATTAAAAAAATCTACCATCTTCACTTGGTAATATGTCTGCTTCAGAATCTAAGTGATCAGAAGCCTGATCAAGAGGCGACTCTCCCACATCACTGCAATATAAAAATTTGATTATTTTAATTTAAAATCATTTAATGAGTTGAAAACCATTTAATTACTACTTACTTTTCATCAGGAACATTAGTACTAATATATTTTTCATACACGATTCCTCCATCATCCATAAATATCTCCTCTTGATAAATTATAAGATTCTTAACCAATTCATTTACCAGATTTTGATACTGAACTTGGTCCTTATCTTCTGGAATAGGCAAGAGCGTTGGACCAAAACAAATGGCTAAATTGTAAGGATCCATCATATTTTCGTCGCTGAATTCTGACAAACTAAAAAGTCATAATTTTAAGTTGTTAGCTTGATAAAAAAACAGTATTAAAACAATGGCAAGAACCAAATTACAACTTACTGATTTAAAAAAGCAAACAAATATCGTAGGACAACGTAGACAGGACGAGGTAATGTACTAACCACATCTCTGACTTTGTTGATAAATTCATGTTTGGACTCAACTTCTGAAGAAAATTTGTTTTAATATTTATTTTTTCTGATATTTTTACTTTAAGTTCAACGATTGGGATATAAAAGGAAAACTACTTACGACTTATTTCCACTAGTTGATCAAAATAATAAATGGGAAAGAGAGGCTCACGCAGTTCTCTCAGATACAATTTTAACACACCGGCAACGGAATTTATATCGCTAGCATCTGTCATGTCTGATAATGGATCGTCGCCTAGAATAATTTTTAAGGCACATTAAAATGCTTTTTTATCAACTTAATAAATTATATAGTAGTATATCAAGTAAACAATGATAAAATTTTTCATTCTTGTCTTGTAACTTGGAAAAAATCCAGCAATGAGTTGCATAACTTCTCTGGCAAAAAAATACTTAAACAATCAGTTTAAAATTGTATGTGGCGCCATCTGTTATGAGATTTTATTAAAAAAATAAACTACTGGTATATATTATTAATTATAATAAAAAAGGTGGACTTAATTTTGAAGGTGAGGATGAGCTTTTACAAATATTGTAAATGCCAATAACCAGAAAACTTTTAAGTCCAACCCCATCCACGATATGTCGCGTTTAACCACCAAAATTTAATAGGCTCAATGCCTCTTATATACGAGTTACAGTGCCAAATATAGTTTCTTAACATTTAATATCTCAGGATGGGTTAAACCACATACATACATACATAAAAGACATGAAGTGTTTTGCCAGTGGAAAAGAGGGTAAGAGAGAGAGGAAATAGAGGGTACAGTAGCTATATCTACACTGTTCAGAGGGATCTTGCTTTTCTCTACTGTCTGTTTGATGTTAGCAAGCAAGGCCTTAGTCCCCTTGACGCCAACATACACATACAGGTGGAATTTTTTCCTGATTTATTAACTTTCTTTGTTTCGGGGATCTCAAAACATGGAGATTTGCAAAATAAAAAGAAAAAAATCCAGAGTGTCAAATTTGACACGATTCCAATCAATTTCTTGTGTCGTATATATAACAGCCAGGAATGTAAAAGTCATTGTTAAATCTATTTCCTACCAATTTGATAATTTTAAGATGCTGATTTGTTTTTTTTGAAACAATGTCCTGTTCTATAATTCTGGCTTAGTAAACACTAGTATTGTGTTGTATTCCAGACACATGGCAAGTTTTTCCATCAAACTAATAAAGATATTTGATGGAAAAAGTTGCCACGTGTCTTTGGAATACAACACAATACTAATGTTTACTAAGCCAGAAGATTAAATCATACAATATAAATTCATCTTAAAAGTCTTCAAAGAGCAATAATTTTAAATTTAAAATTAAATTTGTAAGTTTTATATCAAACAGAAGCTTTAGTATTTTTTATCATGAGTGATAATATTTAGTTACTACAAATGGCTTTAACTTTAGTAAAGATGTTTTACAAACTTTTGTAAAATAAAAAGTTTCAACTAGTAACATGAATTTATATGCCTTATAAAATAGTTACAATATTATTGTATGTATTTTAAACAGTTTATTTAACTATATTAACTGCTCACCTCTTTCAAATGATTCTCTGAAGTTATTAATTTCAACTTGAGAACCTGACACTCTAAATACACCTTGATGATGAAGACCTTTTTAAAAAACAGAAAACAATAATAAACAAAATAATCAATTAGTAATTATTCAATAATAATAATTTTTAATCTACCAACCGTATAAATTGATGATTCGGATACAACTTTGTATGATTAGTGGAATTTCTTGATTAGTTGCCTGAAAACAGAATATTCTTTTAATAACCTTGAACAATATTAAAAGATGTGAATTTGATCAGAGATTTAAAATTAGTAACACTTATGGGAACATAAAAATAGTAATTAACTTTTAATATTACAGAAATAAAATTTATTTTAAAAATTTTTACATAATGTTTGTTTTTATTTATCATATCCAGACATTTGCAGGATACCAGATGTAAATCAGTGAAAAAACAAAAACCCTTTCCTTTATGGAAGGCAGCTGCAAACCCTTCTATACAGGAAAGTGAACAGCTGTCATCTTACAATTTCCTGTAAATATCCTTGAACACAGTGGTGTCCTGTTTTTGATGAATGGTCGTAGGGAGCAACATGGTAGTGTATATCGTATTACAAAAAACTTACAAGACTTCTGTTTGTAAATGTTATACTGAGCATAAAAACGTTATAACTCTCATTTTATTTAAAGTATATAATAATTACCTGGATGCAATTAATTTTGCTGATCTTGTCCCCCTAATTCAGAGGTTCATAAAATATGACAGATTTAGTTTTAACAGGAAAACACAACTGTCATAAGTTAACAGATGTTAAATATTTATCTACAGAATAGTTATTTACTTATCATATTTGATGGTATTATGTTCTAAATTATGTGATTTTATTTGTTTATATTGTATTTATGACTTTATTTTATGAAATTCTTCACTGTTGCATTTTTGAAATATAAATACCAATCAAGCAATTGACAGCAGGAGTGCATATGGCAGACTTCTGCAGATACCATAAAACAGGAAATCTGTTGTTTTTATACCACAAAAGAGACCTCAAATCTTACATGCTGTGTGTTACAACTATTTTTGAATCAACATTAAATGAAAAAACAAAGCTGGTTTTATGAGTTTCAACAAATAAGAAAATTAAATTTCTTTTAAAGTATTTTTTGTTTAAAAAATTATATGTAATTAATTCTATCAAATTTTTTGAGAATTTTATATTCATGTAGAAATGAGATAGAAAAATTAAATTTGTGCTCAAATTCAGGGATTTTGAAATATTCTGATAGGAATAAATAAATAATTATAAGTATTAGGTCCTTTAAAACATTTTTGAATGCTGAAATGAAATTTATTTGAAGATAGATTTTAAATATATATCTAGTATCAACCAAAAATAAATTATAGTAATGATAAATTTATCAAGAAAATTTCAAAATATAACAACAAAAAAGTATCATCCATTTGTTTTGATATCCGTAATTAATTTAATTTATAATGCTTACATCAACATATTCTTCCAAACTTCCTCCAAAAAGTTTTGGTTGTCCCACAAGAGGTGTCTGACCAATTCTTTTTTTTCGTATTTTATGAGGAAGAGTATGAGGATGTTCTATTGTGTTCGGTGAGGAACCAGAAACCAATGGTTTATTTCCTTCATATCCTAATGCTTTACGCATCAGATCAGCTTTGGCTTGAAGTCTAGCAATCAGGTTGTTTCCCATGCAATATTCCCGAAATTTCTATAAAAGATATTTAACTAATTAATTTTGTATTACAGTAGTTAAAAATTTAATAGCAATTAATTTTCAAATCTTTACATTTAAATAAAAATCCTCAGTTTCTTGACGATCTGCTCTTAATTTAAGAGCTAAAGTTTCAGGTTGTCTGAGTCCATTTTTGCCATCCTCCTCAAACAGCATCGAGCAATCGTAATCTTTAGTACTGATCATATCCAAAAGAGAACGTTCTGCAGTTTCCAAGGTTTTCCAAATCTATTTAGTTACAATAAAGAATTACTTTTACATAATTTATAATTCTGATAAATCTAAGATTATAAAGTTTCCAAAACATACCTCTTCACTCTCTGTTTTTAATGAAGTTAATCTCTTTGTTAACTGTTTATACCTTTGGTCTATTTCATCATGAACTGCTTTATCTATACACATCTGCATCACCTTTAAAATACAAAATTTTTACGAAATCAATAATTTAAAATTATTTTATTTACACCACTATCCAATGAATGTATTTTATCTCAATACTACTAATAATATAATCAAAAAATATATATGTATGTAAAATTCAGTGATAGTTTTGGTAAACACATCAATTTAAAACAGTCACTAAAAAGTTTTAAATTTATTATATTGCTAAGCTCTGAAATTAATTAAAGCATTTTTCTTTATCATTAATTTTTCTTTTATGCTTAAGATATAAGTATAAAATAGTTGGTAAAATATTGAAAATTCTATTATATTATATACAGTTTTCCTCTATTGCTATTAAGCTGTTTTACATTAAAATATTACATTAAAGAATATTAAAGTAACTTTTACATAATTTCAATCTGAAAGAGAACAAAAGTTTATTTAAATTATTTAATTTCTTTTTTATGGAAAACCACGATGAATGTAAAAATGTTAATTTTGAAAAATAATAATTTCGAAAATTTTGATCTCAAAAAAATTTTAATGAAAAAAATTTTTAAGATTTTGTTTTAAAAATAGGGGAAAAAGGCTTTGCAAAATATTGTAGCTCCAGCATTATGATGATGTTAGCTTATAAAATAATTTGATACACGATCTCTTAAACATAAGTAATTATAATAATAGTGTCATCAACATTAAGTCTTGCGAATTGTTTCTTTTTTCTAAAATAACAGCAGAAAAACACGAGATATCATTAAAATAATAATCTATTGTATTTTATGGCTTATAAGACACACCTCCATTAGGAAAAAGTATTTAAAGTGTAAATGCTTTAAGCACTTTTTCCTAAATATTTTAAGCCATGCCACACCTTTGGTACTTGGCATCAATTTTTTTGTTTTTTAAACTATATTCTGGTTTTAAAAAAAAATGCAAAATTAGAATGCACATTTTTATTTATCAGGAAAAACAGGAGTGTAAAAGAAATCATTTACCATTAAAATATTCTACATAAAATACATACAAAAGCAGATTTGCTGTAACCAAAAAAAATTTTATTATTATTATTATGTTTAATTAAACAATAACATTTTTGTTCAACAGCTGGGTTAGGTAGAAATTACTGTAGTCTATTGAAGGCCATTTGGAGATTTCATTAGTGTATGGAGATCACAACTTCACATATGAGATGCAGGACCTTTCTTTTGTCCCCCCTTTTTAAGCCTTTTTCAAAAAGTTGCACCTTACATGACATAAAATATAGTACTCTGTATAATTTTTTAAAAATTATTAAAAATGCTAAGTATTATGAAATAATTAAAATACCTGATATTTGCTTCTTAAATTACATGAGCATAAACTAAAATTTCTTTACAAACTAAATTTTACTCAAATATATTAAATTTTCTTTAATGATATATAATTACCTCATCTCCTTTGTGGGCCAAAAACTCAAATTTCTTTGGAACCATGAATGCCGAATTATTATATTCTATAAAACGCTGTTTATCCACTCTAGAATCTAAACTAGCGATGCATTTATTCATTCCGTCAATGCTACTTTGCTGAGATTTTCTCAGGCATTCTTCCGAACTGACATGCATCATGAATGTACGTGCAAGACAAGTATGAAAACCAAAATCCATACACTAAGAAGTAAAAAAAATGTATGACATTTTTTAACATTCTAATTTCTTTTATAAGCTATCTATATCTATATATCAGTACAAACTTTAATTTTACACTTATTTTTTTTTTTAAATATTAATTATAATTAATTTTAGGCTTAAAATTATTGTGGTATTTTTGTATAATAATTGCTCAAGATTTATATCTACCATTTAAAAAAAAAAAATATGTTCTCTAACTAGATAAAAAAACATGAACTAAGAATAGATTAATATAAATAGTTCAGCATGAAACAATAGAAAAATTAATAGAACTAAAAAAAGTGGTTTATATTATTTAAACTTAACAACAACATTCATTAGTGTCTTTTACAGTTCTATTATTTATATTATCATTTGTCATTGTGGTAAAATATATGAATTAACTAACAACAATAATTAAAATACTTACATTAACAAGATCTGATAAATCATCTACAAAATATTTATGAATGGCTGAATTTGCTGCATCCATACAGAGCAAATATTCATTTCTAGCTTTCAAAGCTTTTAATTTGGCATCATTGTACTTTGATTGTCTCTATAAAGTTCAAAATATTTATGTTAAAAGTCTTTGAAAATAATTACTTACATATTAAATATTTATTATACCTTATGTATTTCCTTTTCAATAAGTCTAAATTTTTTTGATCGTTCAAGTTTTTCACGTGAAATAGTATGTTCCAATTTGGACCTTTGAGCTTCAACGTATCTTAGTTTTCCCTCAGCTTGCCTTTCTTCGGCATGATATGTATGGTAAGTTTTCATAGTCTAATGGGGAAATAATAATAAATTATTTAACTTAAATGATATACTATTATTAATAAACTGTAATAATATTTATGTAATTAAAATTCTTCTATTTAATTTGTTAATAATAATAAAATAAAAAATGCTTACTGTATGCAATTCGTGAAGCACTTTCAAGAGTTCTTCATGACCTTCGACGCCAATTTCACGACACTATAAAGATTTAATCAAATTCTTAATATTCTCATAAGTAATAAGATTAAAAATACACGATCCACTTAAGAAACATTCAAGGATTTAAATTTCCATAAACATTTAAATAAAAACTTTGTAACAGTGAAGTTCATAACAGAACAAATAGAAAGGATTTTTACTCAATTTTTTTTTGTTTACAATTTGTATTTGAATAGATTATAACAATTTTTACCCTTTTATAAATACGTTGAACATCTTCCATTATTTGCATACAACGATTTATTAAATGAGTAGCATAGATTTCACTCAAAACTGCATGGTCCCTACTTTGTCGACGAGTTGTTGCAATTAAATGCTGCCAACTAGCATATGATGAAAATAAATGCCATTGGTCTCTCCTAAAAAAGGTCAATTGATCTTGTTATTTTATTTTTAATAGTGTTTTAAAACATACAACCAGTATAATTTACTCAAAAATTAAAATTTCTCAAATACAAGAAGTAACAATTACATTGACTAATATTTTAAGATCATTTTTAAGTTATACCTAGCTAATGACAATGATTTATAAAATTGCTTATATTACTTAATAAATGATATTAAACTGAATATTAATTTGCATAATATATGTAATAGTGTTTCTCAATGAGGCGATATCGCCCCCATGTGGGCATTTTTCCAAGTCGAGGGTGCGATTAGTAACAATTTATATTTTGGGGGCAAAAAACAATTTTCTGGGCGATATAGTAAAACATTATATTAAAAATAATTAGATATTTTATTCGTTATATCGTACAATAATTAAACAAATAACATTATACTAGTCACTAGTCTATTCAATGCAGTATGAATTTGGCATTAGTCTTGGCCTTCGGCATCAGCATTTTGAAGTGAAGGGGGCGATACTATGTTGAAGAAGGCTACGTTAGAGGTTGAGAAACACTGATGTAAAATTTGAAATTGTAAACAAGGGGTTATAATAAATAAAATAGAACATTGCTAAATTTAAATTCTTAATTGATTTTCTTGTAGATTCCAAAATGTATTCAGTGATTACATAAATAATTGACATGCAGGATTTTTCTTTTCTTCCTTTATTCATACATTTACAAAAAGTATGAATAACTTAAATTCAATTATAAAAATAGAATGCTTTATAGAATTTTTTTCAAATATTTCCATTATAAATATATAATGATTAATATATTTCTCACATTATCATAAAGTAAGGGCACACCTAACATGAAAAGATTTTTCTACTGCTATAACATATAAAATTTCAAATATACTAATAAAAGTCTAATAGTTATTTTTAGTTTATAAAATAGAATTTTATCTTCACACTCATTTATTCAGGTTAACTATAATAAAATAAATATAACTGGAATATTAATTTAGTTAAATTTATTATAAGTGTGAATTACATCCTGAATTTATACAATTATAATTAAATTAGAACTATACTTATGAACAAATAAAGAATTTCTCGCTTTCATAGTATATAAGTGAATATTACCTGCCTTCAAGAGTTGGATTTCATGCCATCTTTGGTTAGACAAGAGATTGTTGATCTCTTGTTTATTACCTGCCTTTACGTGATCACTATGGACAGGACATCTAGGCTCTAAAAGTCATGAGTGATAACTTATAACTATGATTTTAGTGCTTAGATGTCCTAGCTTTAGAATTAATATTTCTTTCTTTATATTTAAAAAACAAAATTACATTTTATACATTAATATAAATACTCTGACTTCTTATCAATTATAAAATTTTATATTATATTTTACTATAAAATATTTTAAACAGAGTTATTTAATCATATCTATCACCAAGAGAGATACTGTGTGGAGTTACTATAATCATAACTTATCAAAAAAAGATATTTTTAAAAGAGATTAAATATAACTTTTGAAAAATTAATAACTTTAATTGAGAAACAAAGAAAACTTTAATTAATTAATTAGCTAATTATTTTTATTCCTAGAAGTTAACGACTTACTAATTCTTATTCATATCGAACTAATTATAGAATAAGAATTAACTTATAATTTACGAACGGGAGTACTCGACCCCGAGTTCACGATCCCATTTGAGGTCATGACTTTCGGTCGGCTGTCCGACAATGCACTTACTTGTCAATCCAAGTTATATTATTCTTTGAAGAGTTTATGCATGGGTGGAGGAACTAGCAGGGATTTACATTTCTGAACATTAAAGACTAATTTATAGGCATTACTAAAAGCCAAGAGAAAGAACTAAAAAAAACTGCTATTCATTTAAATATGAATAAATTTTCCGAAGTAAAATTTTGTACGAGAATATTTTTAACAAAATACTTCAGTACATTTTTCTCAAACTGAATAATTAATTAAGAGATTAGATGTAACTGACTATTTTTTGTCATTTCTTTTTCTATAATTGAGAAATTGCCATTTTTTATTATTATAAAAATTAAAATACAATAAACAATTGTGTTCATCAAAGATAAAATTTTTATAAACAATAAAATTAAACAACATATTTATATAAATTACATATATTAAATCCTATATTTGTAATTGGAAGTCTCAGAAAAGTATTCCGCTTATATAACTTTTCATTTTTAATAAAAGATGTGTGGTAAATAAGTTGTAAAATACTTTATTAAATTTTATGTGACAACAGTAATGGATTTTGTATGCTTTTATATTTCAGATGAAATTATATATCTGTACCGGACCTGGCTATAATTTATCTAATAATGTTATAAACATTACAAAGTCTCCTAGTTTTATTATATTTTAATTTACAATATCTTTATTTAACTTGAAGGTCGTTGTATTAAGTCTACACAGGATGATTATATATAATTTAATTGAAAATATACTTTACACCCATAATTTATTATTGAAATTAACAGAATGTGAATAAAACTAATTTACCTCTGTTTTTCTGCCTTATGTCTAAGCATCAAGCTCTTGGACAGTTTATCCAAAGCTCTGGAATATTCCAATTCCACCTCTGCCCGTCGACGAAAGTAATCCTGTATTTCTGCCACTATGGCAACTTGCGTTTCCATTCGCATGTCCAGACATTTTAACTGCTCGTTCAACTGCTGTCTGATATCTGTTTTAAAAATTTACAGATACATACATGAATACATTTTTAGTATTTATTAAACGGCTATTACTCCAAATTTATTTTGAAACATTCAAAATTAATTTTTCATTATAACAGGCTTATAATATATTAGTAAAAGCATCTTCCATTATTTTCTAAGATTAAATAATTATTGTCTTTAAAAATGCACAAAGCTACAGGTAAGTAAATCCATTTTAAAGTAAAAATAATTGGATTTTGAAGAAAATCTAAGCCACCGAAATGGGTGCTTTTTCTGAAAACATCTTTACACAGTCAATACTTTGTATTAATACAATACGACAGAATACTAAGTAATGCGCTATTATAATAATAAAGGAGCCAACTTCAATATCCAATAGCATTGACATAAAAAAAAGCATAAAGAAAATAATTTACTCATTAAATATATACTTATTTTATACTTAAAATATATATATATGATATGATTATTAAATTTTAATTTGCAAGTAAAAATAACCTTTAAAATTAGTTTAAATAAAATATAATGTATTCAGTTTGTCACTTTTGATATTTTAATGTTGATGCAATGGGATTTCATTCTAATATTCTAAACATTAACCATTCTTCCGTATTTTAAAAATGCATTGCAAAGTTTATTGTCATCATCTTTAAATATGGTGTATAATATTTTTAATGACTGTAGCAAAAACTTTAATTGGTTGGCTTCATTTTTGAAGGTTGATAATTTAAAATCTTGTATTCCAAATGATAGATCCCAAGAAACAAAAGTATAAAAAGAATATTTTAGTAAGCATTTAGACTGTTGTAGAGTACAAAAATTACTTCAAATATTACTAGAATTATTATAAATAAGCCAAAGAACTCTTAAATTTCAATATAGATTACTAAGAAAAACTGGAAAAATTTTTTAACTTTTAATATATTTAAATTATATAGAAATTTATTAGAAATTATATAGAAATTAGAAATAAATTTATACTACATCTGAGATAAACTATGGAAAATTTTAATCTCTTTCCTGTACATTCACAGCATATAATTTATGCAGCCAACCATATTTTAAATTAAAATCAATGACCGTACCAAACAAAAAAAGCAAAAGATATAAAAACACATCTTTGTTTTTGGCAGAGAAACTGTTTAATGTAACTTTGAGATCCTTTTTACAAGTCATTGTAGGAACCCCAAAAACAAAAAACAAAAAAATTGTAAAGTCTCCAAATATTATATAACATTTTTCATTTAAATTTAAATCTATTTTTACATTTCTAACATATCTAAAACGTAACTAAAATGCCAAATAATTGTCAAATTTATCTCTAGCGATCAACGTTTTAATTTAACGATCCAATAACATAACAAACATAGCAATTAATTTGTTTACTCGACTTTGGGTTATTATTATTTCCCCCTTCTTCTCCTTTTCTAAAAATTAATTAAAACGAAGTATAAACATAATTGGCCATGAAGTTTAGTTACTAGTAACATAGAGAAGACAGAATTATGAGCTGTAGATAGGTCATATAGCATCTTAAATATTATTATTGTCATGAAATTAACCGTTCTAAAAATAAACCATTCAGCCACTGTCAACCTGGCAGTGATCCAAATCTCGCAAATGACCACAATTGCGTATGCAACTATCTACATCAATTTTAAAATAAATATCACGTATAATTGTACAAAAAACGAATTCCCTGGCTTGTTTTTTAGCCCGTGTTCTCATTAATAAACATAAGAGACCGACGTAGTAAACAACGCTTTGAATTTTGAAGGGCGCAAAGCAAACATTCAGAAAATAAAGCTGGTGTTATCGCGAATTTATCTCGTTTCCTATGGCGTTAGAGCTGACGGGGATGGCTACCCAAGCTTCTAATTCACTTTCTAGAGTCATTAGAATGATACAAAATAGGAGAATGGCGAATCTACACTCTTAACAATACAAAAAAAAATCGAAGATTCGCATATTTGATTAAGTCATTCGACTGGGAGGAGAGCGGAAAAAAAAGTATGACACACGCGAGGAGGGAGGAAAAGCTTTAAAACAAAGAGAATCGAACGTTGATGTTCCTACCTGCCCAATCCATTTCTAAAGGTGGATTCCAGCAAGCCATTGTTAGGATCATTATTTTGGTAGAAAACGAAGTAGGCTATCGCATCACGCATCTAAAGCAGTTAACACATGAAAACATAATGCGAGATGCTTCCCAGCTTAGAGAAAACTTGACCTTGGAGTGGAAAAACTGGGCTTTTCTGTACACAATGGGACGGTGGCGGTTAATTCAGCAACACATAGTCCGCATGCCGATCTCTTAAACAGTATTATTCGCTATGGTGGAAGAAACGATGGTAACTGTTTGTCTATCATTAACACAAAGTGATGATTCATTGCTAGAGACCCACATCCAGTACATTTCATTGGCATCCGACCGCCTCATTGTAAGGGAACAGTCTATACTCGTCTATTACTAGCACCGCACGGGACCAAAATGGAATCGTCTCCGGAAGACGACCATCACCGTTGACCTCCGACATCGGAGGACATCTTTTATTTTTCAAAACGTCTGTGTTCTACTGGCGCCCCCCATTTCCGGTGTTCGGCAGCCATTTCCTCTACTTCCCCCCATTCTTTTATCGCTTTTCATTTGGTACACACGCTGCAATTAGCGAATAACAACGTATTTAACTTCCAACGGGCTGTGTTTATTTTATTTTATTCGAGCGGCTGAGAAACCGAAAAGTTTATTTGTCATAATTTTTAATAATATGTTTCTCCTTTCGTCCAACAGATGGCTTTACTATGGGAAAAGCGCATTTTACGGCCGTCCACAGACCAATCCTTTGTTACTGTAGAAGTGACGGGAACACTTTTTTTTTACCCACATATGTTTTAAGAATTAATGCGTGCGAAGAAAGGAGGATTAACGAATATTGTCCTTTATGGGCGTTTTTTATTGCCCTAGACGACTTTATCCTAATATTGTTTCAAAATCGCGCATCACGTAAGCAACAGCTGTCTAATAAAACGGACACGAGGCAGGTGCTACCAACCATCACCTGCATTCCCAGTCACGCCATCGAGGTAGAAAATATAAAAAAAAAATCCAGTAGCGTCTAGTTAACTACACACGCTAAGAGTTTACCTTAAATCCACTTCTAGGACATTCTTGCCAACGACCCAATGACCTCAGAGAAGATGGTCCTCCGCTCGAATCTTTCCAAGTAGCAGCGTGAGTGCCAAAGAGGACGTCTTATCAACTTTTCCATTGGATAATTTATAGCCGTCTGCCATTTTAACCTCCAGATAACCGACTTTTTACATAATGGTAACAACTTAATACAAGGTAATTAATTTGCGTTTAGCGTGCACCAATTGGTATTGTTAGAGAAGGGCTGGAGAAATCACAAAAAAAATGACTCACGGGAATATTTAGAGAGGAGACAAAAATAAGCAAATTTTGTGGTTACGAGTCAGTGACGTGAGACGACTAAAGGTGAATGAACTGCTGTCTTCCTGTACTAAACCCATCAATGTAGGCCAGAGAATAGTAACTACTCTATTGTCTGCTTAATATCAGAAAAAATGAGACGCTATTAAAACTATATAGTTTTTCCCCCCTCCTACGTTCGAGTGCACAATTCGACACAACGCAGTGAACACGACGAGGGGCGAGTCCGCTGTTTTCAAGATTTATCACATAGTAGCAGCTGTTCGGGGAGGAAACACTCATACATATAAATATATATAACAGGTCTTCCTCCGACTTTGTTATACGCCGGTGAAAGTTAACACATCTTCACACTAAACTCCTACTAAAAATATAATATAACGACTGATAATTTCCAATTCTTTGAATTCTATACACGACAATCGCATTATTCCTCCCTTGATTCTAAATGGAGAAGTGATGAAGGCCGTAGTGTCGAGATGGATAGAATGTTTGCTATCTCGAATGGTGACTCACAAAGACGTTTTGAATAATTTAACTTAATCGACACAATGAAAGATGGTTTAACAGTTTAACATTTTTTTTTTTTCTTTTTTTACTGGCATCGTGTGGAGGATGGAAGCGTGTTAAACATGGATGCCCGGGGCATCTAAATGCGAGATTCTACAATAGCTCAGGAATTCGAAGGACGTCAGAGTAGGTATGAGGGATAATACGATATGCATACATAACAGGGTATACTATCTTATTACTTAAAATCACGAAGACGAACCAACCTTGGCTCATTTTATGGTGACGTCTCCAAGATATCCGATGGTATCCAGATAAAGAGCGATACACATCGGATTATTATAAAAATGATATCAAATTTACGAAGGTCGTATTGCGAAGAATAAAACTCTTATGATAAAACGAAATGTAAATATATTCCTCGGATATATTCTACTCGTACATGTTTTTTTATTGGCAATAATCTATATAAAACGCTTCCCTTCGATACGTTTATTATTTTGGGATTTTTATAAAGTTTAAATGGCAGGATATCCCATATTGCAGAATATATTTGCACATCCTTTGCTACGGGGGAAGGAAAAAATACCTGTTTGAAGTAAAAATTCGGACTATTTTTAAAACCTTCGATACATCCAGCGGAGTAATATTGCCTAAAGTAAACACGCAGATCTCTCAATAAAGGAGTTTGATATTTAACTGACGAAAATAATGATAATGTATCTTTGACCTACATCTGTTGATTTCCGTTTTGTCTTTAATGATTTTCGGCTGAATTAGACAATGACATTAGATCTAAATCAGCAATTCGAAGGAAATAGGTCTAAACTTTTATAGGCCCGGTTATCATAGAATAAAACCCTCCTATTTTTAAAATAAATTTAAACCTGCGTGCCACCATTTTTTTTGGCCGTTTTATTAGTATTACCATCCTTAATAAGGCACTTGATCTCTATTAAAAAGCTACATTGAAACTAGTTAATTGGCGTGCATTCAGTTAAGGGGGAGAAGAAAGCCATTCTAGAGATTACTATTTTAGTTAATTAATTCAGCCGAGGTTATAGTAGTTTAATAAGATGCGCTGACGAGTTTCAGGTAAGATTGCATGTAGACAAAAGATAATTATGCTATCGGCTTCCGTCGTTATTTACATACATGGATTTAAATGAGACAAAAATACAGGAGAAAAAAAAGATTTGCAACGGTTACTCAACTTGCTTACATCCTGTTTGTTTCCTAACTTAGTTTTGTATGCCTTGTATGTAGCGATGTTTTTAACATTATAACAAACCTAAACGAGCAGAGGCGACGAGGAGGGGGAAAAAACAAGATGGGAAGACGTTACCGTGTCAGTTGATCGGCGACGACGACTGATGGGTTAGCTTTTTAAAACAGCGATTCTTTTACTAATAACCAAAGCAAACGTCTACTCACGGTTATAAAAAGAAGATCTCCTTAAAGTTCCTGTCCGGCGTAGTCTGGGTTTATCCATAACGAAGCTCTATTCACGTCCATCAGTGGGGGAAAAAAGCACAATAACCAACACGTTAAGACAACCAACGCTGTATGGCGCGACTTGCTAGATGGACTAACCAACCAGCCTGGCAACCACGTGGTACAGGTCACGTGACGGAACTAGTGAGGAATTTGCGGGAAAACAAACACGGTGGCACGGTAGTTCGCCGGGATTTCAAGTGTTTTAATACACTAAATTTCGCTTAAATCGTCACTCCGATTAATTTAAGATTATCGATCCGTAATTTGCGTATAACGAAGTTTACGTTACGCTGCAGATTAGTCGGTTTTAAAGGGAGATAAAACCGAAAGCCGCGTAACTTCGAGTGGTGGTCCCAAATCCAGTTTCAATGATCGAAAAAGAAAGAAAAACAGATGAACCGATTGATAGGCAAATGGGGCAGAACTATTAACAATTCCACGAATGAACGTTGACTTTAACCTTGAAAAAGTTCGCTCGCTGTCGAAACTTTACCTTCACGTTTGTCCCAGGGCGACCACGTTTTACATTCGTATCGATTCGAGAAGAGTGACTTTTCCTTTGACCTCCTTTTTCGATTTGCTGTCACTGCACTTGACTGAATAAGTTTCTCGAGGATGTTATTACATTAATAAACCTGGAAAACGTCTGGTAAAAAGATAAAGAACAACCGAGATCTCATCAGTTATAACAATTTCCAAGTCAGGCGCGGGTTATAATCCGGTACAGGCGCGCGAGATCTAGACTGGGGCTACTCTTTCTAACAATGTAACACGCTATTGTTCTACGGATAAATATTTAATACCAATTATATGTGATATCAACGTAATTATCTTAATGGATCATTATCCCATTTCATTTGACAATGAACGATCGTTCTGTTACGACCCGATGTTTGGGGGATTAGAGAGACATTTTACATTTGTTTTTCCTAGTCAAAATAAATAATGGATAAAGGGCAGAATAATCTTGACAAATTAACATTTTTTTTTAAAAGCATATGACAGGAAATTTAGGGAAAGGATGAAGCTTTAAAAACCGTTTCACCCTTCTTTCTAAAGGTTAAACCTATATTTTGACATGGATCCAGTTAAATTTGGTTAAAAACTTTAACTCTAGCGTTTGAAATAAACTGCAAAAAATCTATTGTGACTGAAACTACAAGGAAATGGATCATAAGATAAACATATTTTTGATTAATTAAGTTTTTAATAAGGATAATTATCTTGATTTATGCAATTGGGTTAATATTCTTGATGAAGACGGAGCCTATAATTTATCACATCTTCGTATTCTGAGGAGGAGGCACTGATTCTTTTTTTTAAAATTTAAATCATAGTTTAAAAACTATATCGACTCTCCTAGATATAGTTCAGAGTTCCATATAAGTGAACTAAAAATTCTGATGTCTGTATTCAGCATCGTGACGAACTTTTAAGCCGATGTCAAGTTAACTAGTACCTCTTTACCTGCAGCTAAATTAACTGCAAAGGTAACTTTTATGGCAATATTTAACTGCGAGAACGTGTATTTTAACAAGTTATATATATATTTTGATTGTTTAATATCCTATCGTTCTCTGTAATCACATTCATCAACTTTTTATCAGTTACTTTATCGCGAATTCCGAAACAAAATAGCATTTTAGATGGAGGAGGCGGAGATGAAGAAGAAGGAGAGAAAGGATTTAAAACAGAAAAATCTAATTTTTTTTTCTACAATTACAACATGGTTAAAGTTGCGATGTTCTTTTTCTTCTCTGAACTCTTAGCACCTGTCTTTCGCAGATGTTTTTCCAGTTTAGATTGTTGTTTTTGGCCTTCAGTAAATGGATCTGTCTCTGATAAAAATTTCAGCAGATATAACATTTTATCAACTGCAAACTTAAAAAAATATATATAGAGAGGAAAAATTATACATAATCAGATCTAACGTCTTATTCGTGATGTTAGCACTTTTATGGAGATTAGAACTGAAATATGCTCTAATAATTAAACTAAACAATAATCTGCTCTATTTCGTAGTGAAATTTGTAAGCATAACTCATTAATTTTTTTTTCTAAAATTCTTCCTTTCGTTACTCCATTATCTAAGCCACGGTTAATTATCTTCTACCACTTACTTGCTCTGATTACGACTCTCCAATAGTATCGAAATTATTAAAGGATAAATCTTGATATATTTTATAATCTAATCTAAAAAACTTTTTCCTCATTCCTTTCATTCTATTCTTTCATTCAACTCTCAGTTTGAGAAGAAATTTATTTCTTGTCCGCTCGCCAAAAAATCCAAAAAAGAAGGTGATAAGCCGTTTCAATACAATGAGAATAACTTTCTTATCAGACAATCAAAGACTTTTTTTTTAATATTGACTCTACTGATTTAGTTATATCACGTAACAGAATCTATGCTGTTTAAACACCCATAAGTGCATCACGGTGCACCATAAGTTTCTATCTAACAGTAAGATAGATAGATACCTTCCAGAAGCTTCAACTAAGCAAAGAATAATGGATACAAACTGACAATTCATCACTTTAGTCTCCCTCATATCGTTCTCAACACTTTCATAAATCGATAAACATTCGTTAACATTACTTATAAAACCTATTTATACATTTGTTTATTATTCCAAATATGTTTCGTGTGACATTTGCGATTTTTTTTCTCTCTTCAATATCCCCAAGCTCTGGAAGAGGGCCAAATATTTAAATTAAAAAAAAATATATACAGGCTACAACCATAAAATTAATTATGCAAGAAAAATCCTCGTATATCTACTATTCCTTTGCGTACGTATTAAAATTAATAATAACGAAGTAAAACTTAACAAATAATTCACTTTCGCATAAATAATTCATCAACAACGGAAGCGGGATTGCATATTAATCAGAGAAATTATGAAAATATAATTTATCACTTAATTACACCTCTGAAAATACAGAAGGAAAAATTAAAACTCGAGCAACAACAAAAACTGAATATTAAAAGTTATAACACTTGGAAATATACGAGCTTACGACTGATAATCACCTGCTGTAGCTGCTAAATTTTAAAAAATTCATATCAACTTCCCATCCCAAAATATCTGAATATTAATAGGGTAATTGATAGGTTTCAAGCTGATACTTATTCTGAACTTGTTTTATTGCCTTTCCTCTTGAACTTGATCATCTCGGGTTAAGTCTCTGAAACAGACTTTCCTCTTTGAATAAAATTATTTGAACTTCGAACTTTGATCGTACCATACGCTCCCGAAATTTCGTTTTTCTTCATAGAAAACTGCACAGACTATTTCGTTTAATTGCTTATTCCGAATTCTCATACGTACCACGCAACATTAGCTACAAATTTTCTAAATATCCGTAACTTTTCTTAGAAATATAAAAGCAAATCTAGCGTAAATAACAGCTGTCCTTTTCTAAATTAAGCAAACATTTCTGCCTCTTGATCTGAAACTAAATTTCTAATCATAGACTAAAGATATGGAAGAGAGAGAGAGAGAGAAAGAAAGAAAGAGACTACTCGAAAGGGGGTTATAAAATATAAGGAGAATCCATCGATAAATAGTAATTACCGTTTATGTCCATAAATCTAAAAAAAAAATCCAGGTATGTATTTTTAATAATAAATATAACAAGATAAGTACTATCTATAAATTTTTATTATCGATAACATTTTAGTTGAAGATTGTAAATTTTATGAGGTAAATCATTACAAAGATAATTTAGATTCTACAGCGTGCGGCAGTGATTCAAAATGAACTTTTTCTTTCAAAATGTCAGCAGAGAGATGGATCGTCGGTGTACCATTTCCTATTTTTTTTACACGTTAAATTACACTTTTCTCAGAAAACTTGTGTAAAAAAAATTCCACCGAATTAATATTTTATAAGATTTACTTAAATATAAATGAATATTTCGAGATAATGTGTATTTTTTTTATTAAAGGCAAAAAAAAAAACGATCAATACGGCAAAAGATAGACCCTAGCTCGCTTATGGAATCGAAAGTCAATGACATTTCTTTCATAAGATGACTGAATTTCCTATCTCGTTTCGCCAGTTTAAATAACTATTTCTAGGTGATGCGATTGCCAATGGTAAGATTGATGCGTTCGTGACGAGTATATATTGCAAAATATCCTTTACGTCTTATAATGGTCTCGATTTTGTCACATCTTTGTCGTCATCAATCTTCTCTGGGGGCATTTTAAAGGGTAACTACTAACAATGATTAAGAGAATAAAAAATAAGAGAAGAAAAAAAATCCAGTCACGTTAATTCCACTTCTAGCAGCAAAATGTAGATGACAACCGGGGGGAGAATTAATCCTATTCTTCTCCAGTTTATCACATTTAAATAGGCAATGTACACTAATCACGTGCTTATATATATTTTAAATCAGAATTTAATGACAGAACTGATTTAAAACATGATTCCGATCAATAGATCATCGTGTTTTCTCCCTCTCATAAAAATCCCTCTCTCCGAGAAATTATTATTGACAGGAAGCCCGTCTAATGATCGACATCATAAATTTTAAACATCCTCTTGATAATTGTATATCATTCTTATCGGTTACCTGCTATCTCCAAAGATGTCATGCCCTCTAGAGATGAAGTAACGAAGGATAAACTTACCTAAAAAAGAAAAAGAAGAAAAAAAAAAAAAGGAGAAATCATAAGTAAAAATTCCAGCACATATCACTAAATATAAATCTAAACACATAAATAACTTAATATTATAAAATTATATTAATAAAGTGAGATGGAGAGAGTGAAAATAAGATAAAAAACCTGTCTACTGAAAGGCCTCAATGTTATTTATTGTTAGATAGCATGGAATTCAATCTCGACCATAGTTCCCTCCTACGAAATGGAAGAAGGGAGGGGAGGAAACGGAGAAAAAAA